CACATTTCCTTCACCAACTGAGATTTTAATTTCAGTTTCTATTCTACTGTTTGGATTTCTGCTAGGTGTGCTGGTTGCTAATTCTCTGATACTTTGATACCATCTTGCTAACAAGCAAAAGCTTTCATTTTCTGGACCTTTCTTGTTGAGTACCTGATTTCTGAACATTCAAATCTCAGACTTTAATAGAAATAAAATACAGAAATGCTGATTCCTGTAGAAGTCAAGGAAAGTTTTATTTAAGAAGGATGTAAGAACTGTATTTGCACATAGTGAATACAGTTCATTTTGCATTACATTTGCAGTGAGAAAAAAGTTAAATTCTGCTTGAGAACATTTTCTAGACTGGGGATTTGAAGGCAATTCTGAGTTTCTGATGTTGTTTGTTTTGGGGGGAGCGTGGGATATAAATTAGAAGTGGCTGCACTGTAAACAGTAGCTTTACTTTGTCATGGAGCTGGTGTCAGGACAGAACAAAGCCCGAGGGGAAGAGGAGGAGAAAGTGATGTGAAGGAGAGAGGTGAGGTATGTAAGGAGATGCAACACTGATAAACCAATTTTATCTGTTCCTTCTCTAGGAGATCTTGCTCCCTACAAGGCCCAGCCTCTGTTACTCCTTGGACCTCTGTAGCTATAACAATACCATCACTGGAAGAGATATTATTTCAAAATTGTGGAAATCAGACTGAGATTTATGAAAACAAATACCCAGAATTAGGCTTCCAAATCCTTATTCAGGTGCTTAAACAATGTCAAGTTGCTTGCGCCAGGTGTAGTTCCACTAAGCCAATGGGATCACATTTGGTGTCAGATATTACTGAGGCAGAATAAATGTCTTAGGATTTAGCTCTGAATTTCCTGACTTTAGAGGTTTGAAGTATCTATCAGCTCCCTTTGACACTGAAAGTTAGTATCTCAGCTTCTTTGAAAATTAGGTCACCTATTTCCAGCTCAGATCTACAGCTGATTTATGGCAGCTTAACAAGTTACCATCTATCAGCTGAACCACTATAATTGTCCGTGAAATTCTTTTAGTGAAGTTTTTAACAAGTCACATTCCCTCACAGCTGGGGAGGCCGAAAAGCCCATGAACGGTTGGTTATTGGCAGTGACTACAGCTCAGTTGACAGGTGTGACTTGCTGAACTGATTTGATGAGTGCCTTATTTTTAACTAGGCATCTAAATAAGGATGGAAAAACCTACATTTGGAACTACATCTTTGTGGATCTTATGCTAGACACACACTCGTTCTTACCTTAGGTGATTAAGGAGCTGTGCACCATGGTTTATTTGGATTTCCCACCAGAGACCTGAAAGATCTGGTTTTGTTTGTTGGCCTGCATGCCACCCATGGAATCAGATATAAATGTAAGTAGCGAAAATGCATTGCACTGAGTTTTATTTGTGTGGAGTTTTCTACCTTAACACAGGAGTAAAAGTGTGTTGCACAAAACAAGTCTGGGCACACGAGTTCAGATTCTGTGATGGTTTTGTGTGAAATGTGTTCAGCACTTGTAGGACAGGATGTGAGCAGAAGAACTGTTTACAGCTGTGGGCACTCTGTCCACAGCTGTCCCCTTCCCAAATGCTAAAGAAGTTGAAAAACCAACAGTTTCAATTCACACTGAACAGTGATCTTCTTACAAAGTTTTGGAAAGTCAGGTGAGATTCCCCCACTGCTGAAATTTTGTCAAGTGCCTTCCATTACTACCAGTTTAAGATCTACCCTTTGTCTCTTGCAGTGTGAACAGGGAATTGCCTCAGGTTGGAAAAATACTGGGTAGAGGAAAAGGGATGGAGAACAGGAAATCTTTAGACCAGTTTTGCCAATAAAGGCCCTATAGGACCTGTAGAAAGGGCCTAATAGAAAATTATCTATGGAGTTTGTGCACCTCTCATTTTATGGGGCTTGAGCAGTGAAGGTCTGGGTCTTACTCATATTGATATAAATCAGAAGAAAATTCCTTGAAATTAAATGAGTATGATAGAGTCATAGAGGGTGATGGATATAGACACAGATTGGTGAAGATCATTTACTTCAGTGCTTGTTTAGTGTGCAATGACAGCCCTGGAGGCAGCTGGCTACTAGAAGGATTTGGTCACCAACTGCATGTATAACCACAGGGGTGGGATTTCATAACCTATCCCAAAGTGGAAATTCCCCACTGTTATGTACACAAAAGTCTTGTGGATTGCAATGTCTTTTTCTGTCCTTGGAGAAGTTGAGACTGGGTTTGGGTGGAGCAAATATCGAAATTCCATTTCTTCTTTCAACTAAGTGACTTTCATCTCTACTGGAAGACCCATGTCCTGGTTGCCTTTAACCATCTGTACTGATGAGGAGGTTCGCTGAGCTGGAGAGCACTGATCTGATGGGTATGTACTGCAACTGCAGGAAGGAAAAGTGCACAGTGCAAACAGAAGCTGAGGAGAGTTTGTTAGAGGGGGAATCTGGTAATTACAATGTTACTGAATCATTTCTGCTTGATCTTCACACAACTAGTTTACATTATTTGCACTGAAATGGAGCCTGCTACCTCTCCACTCCGGTCATTGACAGTATTTTGTGTGCAATACTGAATCTACACAAATTCAATGTGCATTTAATGCATCTATCTACATGTTACTGTGAAAAGACAAATACCCCAGAACCCAAATAAACCAGGCTTTGTAAGCAGATCAGTAGTTCTAGTGCAAGGAAAAGTAGCTTGTTTTTACTGAATATGATAGATAGACTCCTTCAGAGATGATGACTTTATGTGAAAAGTTCTACAAATATTTCATGACCAGGTTACTGTACATTTTTTACTGTAACATGCAATTCACTTGATGTTCTTGTGCACTTTTTGATTTTTTATTTCATTTTATATGAAAGCTTTTTCATCCACCTCTCCCTTCCCCTTATTTATATAAGGTATTGTGGTTTTAACAGTTTAAATTTTGCATTGTTGTAGTAAATAACAGCTTTTGAATGTTATGTTTCCATCTTTCAAACAAAGTATGAATAAATAAATCGATTCTGAAGGACTATCAGCTGTCCTGAATAGCAACATTGAACAACGAAACACAAAAATAGCCAGGAAAAGTCTGAATCAGTCCAAGCTTGAACACTTAATAATTTTGATGTTTATCTCAGGGATAAGAGAACAGTAAGTATTGCTAGAGAGCAGACAGAGTTGATATGCTTTGCAAACCTTTTGGAAAATCTCACACATCCCCATTCAATAATCTTGAATATACTTAACAATTGTCTTCTGTTCATTTGTGTTTTACTCCATTGCTGCTTCAGTTCAGAGCCCCAGCAAGGGCCACTGCCTGCCCTGGGCTGGGAAGTTCCATGTCACAAAGGATTTTAAAAGCAATATCAGTTTAAACCTGAGGATAAGTGCATAAATATCTCTGTGTCAGAGGTCATTTGGAACAGTCTGGTTCAATGCTTCATCATAACTTAAAAACATGCTATTCTATTACATGGAAAATGTACAGCAACACACATTCAAATAAGAGACAGTTTAAAAGAAGAAAAAAATAAAAGAATTTAATATCTGAAATGTAGAAATTTGACTTTAACTCTCTTATTTCTATGAATTTCTTCAGAAATAAAATTTCTACAGAGGCTATCCATTTTGCCAAGTATTTTAATTTTGATAGAAATCTATATTCTGGTGCAATATGCAGCACTTTCAAATTTCCCTTCTGAATTCGAGCAGGAACATTTGCCTACAGCAGTCACTGCAATACTCGTGGTTCTTTCCACCAATTTCTCTGGTCATCCAGATGGAAATCCAGATCAACACCAAGAAGGCTCCTCTACATTGACAGCATTGAGACAGAGTTCAGCATCTGACTTCATCTGGATTACAACAGTGACAGAGGACTAATGGTGTGAGAAAGCACCCATATTTCTATGTAAAAGCATTTCCTTGTCTTCAATCCTGCAAATTCAGAAATAGTTCTCCCATTAACTTAAACGAGGGTACTGCCTCTGGTTTCTGTTAGAAAGCCTCACGGAGAGAGGCAGTTTCTTCATGGATTTTTTTTCCCAAACAGAATAAAAGGGAAAGACATCTAAGTGTATTCATATCTTCCTTTCTGGACCAAAAGCTCACCTGATGTCTTGAACCCTTAGATCAGCTCTTTGGCACCTTGCATGCAGTTGCAGGTATGTGCTGCCATTTCCTGCTCTCTCTCCTATAGGAGTAATCTATACAAGCTTGGTACATATATTAAGTGCTGGTGGTAGGCAGAAAGCAATGAAAGCCATATCTATTTCTGCTTTTTACCTGCTGCACTAACACGTTACAGCCATTTTTTTATGTAATTAAACACTAGTGGGTTATACTGTAAGGTTTGCGAAAAGAATTAGCTATTTTTAGCCTAAGAACAGTTCATATCCTAACAGAAGTTGCAACCTGGTTATATAACACCAAGACCCATCAGAAGATCAAAAATTATACTCTACAATTGCTGAAGATGATAAATTTTTCATTACTGCAATGCACTTAAAGGAAGCATTGACTGGTTTTCCCCTTACAGAGATACCAAGGGTCACAGGGAGCTAAATTAGCCAGAGACCAAGCCAAATGAGGCCACTTTTTATTGAATCCTGGGAGAAGTTTCCATTAACTTCAATAAGAGCAGGCCCTCGGAGATCACAGGTGTCCATTTTTTCCCTCTCCCTCCTCCCCCAACCCTGCAATACACTTCTCTTGACCTCAGTGATTTACCCCAGTATAACTGAATACATAAGGCTGCAATATTAAACCTTTCAGAGCTCATGTTCTGTGCCTTAGCTCCACTTACCCCAGAGTTGAAGAGAAATCTAAGTTTAAAAATATCTCCTATTAACTTCTTTAATGCCAACTTGTTAAAATAATTTGGAAATTACTGGGCAAATAATTTGTAGATAGGTCTTGTGATAGCTTCTTAAAGTCAGGCAAAATAAAAGACATCTGTGAGCCAGAAATCAGAGCAGTGTATTCTATATGCTTTTTTATGCCTTTCATATTTTATGGGTTTGTAATCAAGTAATACAATTTTTCATTTGTTCTGTTGATGCAGAACAAACCCTGATGTGAAAATTCATCCTGCTTCCATTTGCACCAGCTTAACACTAGCTAATTACCCAGCCCTAGAAAAATTGCTTTTGATTTATATCACTCTAATAGACAGAGATTTCAGCCCTCTTATCTACCCACCAGTTGCAAATCAAACCTGTGTCCTACCCCGTGGGGCAAAAATAAACACACTGCATCAGCAGAATCTCCAAAATAAAATTACCTCCTTTCTTCCCATATTTTTTTCTTTTAATTCTCTCAATATTTAAGTGCAAGAAGAGTTTAAATCAATTCACAAGTGTGGTTTCTACATTAAATACCGTCCTTCCAGTGTCTTGCATGCAAAAGGAATTGACCTGAATATCTTGACTTCTCTGGAATTATTTCAAAGTATGAAAACTCTTTGAATGGGTTTAATTCATTTCATTTCACTGCTGTTGCTGCAGGGCAAACGTGGAAAGATCTTCCCACATGGAGGAGGTCTCCTAGGTGTTACAAGTGTGGCTATGAATGACCCACAGCCCTGCTCTCTGCAGCACAGACAATGCCCGTTGATGAAAGAGCTCTGGTTTGCCTCATGTTCCAAGCCACCAGCTTTGTAAGGCTTATTTTCAGTTTACACCTGTATACTGAGAGGAGAGTGGAGCCTGAGTAGCTTTCCAACAGTTACTAATTCACTCCAGCCTGACCACAAGGAAGAGGGTGTGATTGCCAGCCTCCTTCCCCCTGCTGCTTCACACTGCCAGCAGCTCATGCCTGGTGCCCAGCCAGATGTTTCAATCCACTCTCAGGAGCTGTGGTGCTCAGCGTGACTCCAACACCCCTGGCTAAAGATAGCTGAAAACATTGAAGATGGGTGGGGGTACAGCAGGCTTGGTGGGGATGGGTTTCAAAACCACCGGCCTGTAGAGTTTCTGTCCCATGCCATCGGCCTCCTTGCAGAAATGCGGCACCTCCGCCGACAGTGTGGCGGCACTCTTCCTCCACAGCCCCAGCCCCAGGAAGGGCGACTGGGACAGTGTGCCAGGGAGCTGGTACACCCCTGGCCCAGGGCAGGGGAAGGGGCAGCAGGTCCAGGCACCCACCCGACCTGACAGGACGCCAGCAGGGTCCTTGTCCCCAGCATGTGGGGTAGGCTCAGGGGGGCTCTCTGGACCACCAGTGTCAGGGCTCCGTTTGCTTTTCTTCCCCTCAGAGGGAGGAGGCTCTCCGGGGGCTCGGAGCCCCTCGGGGCTGGTGGGATAGGCCCTGGCCAGCAGGCTCTGGGCCGGCTGTGGCTCTTCCCAGAAGGAGGCAGGGAGTTGTCGCTTCCTCATGGGCACCTGGTCTGGTCTGGTGGCTTCAGGGTTTTGCTCCTGCAAAATCCGTTCCTCAGGGAGGCTGTCCTTCCCCGCTGCTGTCTGCAGCACCCTCTCTGCAGCAGCCCCACCATGGGGGCTGGGGTCAGGTGCCTCGGGTGGAGGTCTATGGCCCCGGTCCTCTGCCCCCCTGCGCCAGCCACACTCGGTGGGTTTGCTGGGGTGGCACCGAGGGATCCGGGAGTACTTCTGAGAAAATCGCTTGAGCTGCTTCTGCAAGTATTTCCTGTGGTCAACTGACCGGCGACAGGGAGCCGATTTATCCAGAGCCGCTTTGATGTCACTGGAGGCCAGGTTGACAAAGTTCAGTAGGGTTTTAACCTCGCTGTCTGATGCCATCTCACTGGATGTGCCCTGTAAAGCTTCCCATGAAACGTTCACCTTCAGGCAAACCTTGGCAAACCTGTGAAACACGACGGGCAGACTTAAGAGATCTCGGTTCAAACAGCACCAAACAAACGAAGGGAGGGTGGGGGAACATGTCAAGCTTCTCAGCCGCGCAAAGTTGTCCATCATCAAGCTCCCACTGGAGCCTCCTCATGCCTGCAGCCCACCACCCCACACGGCTGCCCCAGAACACACCAGCATGGGATCTAGCTCACAAATGCCTTCCAGCCCGGTGCCTAATCTTGTTAGATAGCGTCTAGATGGAAAGAAGCTGGGCGGCCACTCCCGCCTCCCTGTAAGCAAGTGTGGACACTCACCCAGCCCGCAGCAGTTTTTCTCACCGGTGCTGGCAGCTGCAGTGTTGCTGCAGAGAAGAGCCCCTTCCCCTTTCCCACTAATCTCGTTAGGCAGGTTACCCACTCCAACCTCGGCAGAGGCAGCCAGGGCCTGCCAGTGTTTGGATGCAGTTTAGCAAGCACTTGAGCAAGCTGAATGAATATCGACTCCGTTGAGTTCAGGGCTCTCCCAGGCCAATCAGAAGCCACTTTGCCAAATACAAAGCATCCCAATCAGGCATCAGCCTCCCCTCCTCGCATTCTTTGCCATCACAAATTGTCACCATGGGGACAGCCACAGAAAGACAGCTAATAAATACAATCATTTCCCTGAGGTTTCTACCATTCTCCCTATCCTCTTCACCCCTACCAAGGCCTTTCTTTTTAAAAAATGACACAATCCAAAGGGAAAATGTTGCGGATGAGTTAGGAAAGTTTAGGCACCCTTTTCTCTGCACTCCCCAAAGCTGTCTGGGGGCTGATACTAACCATGCTTCATTGGCACAGGACAATGTAATACGGGGGACTGGGCTAGCCTACTTTTAAGCATTCCCCATCACAGCCCTTTTTTTTTTTTTTTTCAAGGGGAGGATGATGTCAGAAAAAGGTAGGGAAGGAACAAATCTCTAAAGAGATGTGCAGATATCCATGGAAAGGGAGCTTGAGCGCTCAAGAATCTTGTCTTTATGTTTGCCCCCTCAATTGAGTTACACAAAAGCTGAATTACCCATTCAAACTACCCGGACAAAAGGATGGAGTTGGATAGTACTCTTGCATCTGTAGTCAAACAGTTAGAGACTTAAATCGAGTCGTCATGATGGAGAAAGAGTTAGACAAAGCCCATAGAATTGCCATCAGCAAACATTTTCCTGTGTCATATTAGTGGGTCTCCATGACTCCCCCTGGCCTGGGGACAATAGCACAAGTTTGCACACTCGACTACTGTCACCCTGCCAACGCTGGCAAGGAGCAGAAACAGGACAATCCTTTAAGGGGAAAGCATGCCCGCTGCAGGGAAGGTAAGAAGAGAGGGAAGAAAAGGCGTGTGAAATGCTAATTGAGCTGCTTCCTTTACTGATACAGAGTTACGTGAGCCCTCCGCCTTCTTGCAGGCTTATCCCTAAGGGGTGGCAATAACTTAATAGCACAGTAAAACTAAGAGCTGGAGGAAGAGGAGAGCAGAAGGGCTGCCCTCAGTGTGCACCAGACATGCTGACTGCCTGTGTGCCAGCCTGGGACCTGCTGCCTCCCATGACTGCAGCATTGCTACTCCTGCTCTTCAGACTGCAGCCCCCTGTGGATGGGAACAGTGGAGAGAGTACAGACCTGTACATGCACTGTCAGGGTGATGCTGGACCAAACATGCATGCCCTAGAGAAAGCAAGGACTGAAGTCCTAGCCATTTTGCAAGTCAAATCCACCTTACTGATATGAGGCATCAAAGACCTGAGGACTGAGGATTGAAAACAGCTACATTTTATGGTTATTTTGCTGTATTTATATTATTCTGATTTTCCTTGGAGAAGGACAAAATCCAGACTGTGCCATTATACCAAACTCTGGGCAAAGGCCTCAAGTATGACTCTTCAGTGTCCCCGTGCTGGTGCACCCAGTGCAGCCATCCCTCTCCTCATAGTTTCTCCCAGTCTTGCCAGAGCCACATGTGCTGGTGCCCAGGCTCAGGTGTTTCAGATCTAGGAAGACCCTGGGGCCAGGACGTCCTGCAGCAGAATGCGCTACAGAGTCTTTGACACCATGGTGGGCTGTAACATGGTGGCTGATTTGCTACCATAGACATGCCTCTCTCTTCCTAGTTTCTACTCCAGAAGCAGTTCATTCCCTAGGAGACCTGGAGCAGCTAGCCCTGCCTGCACACTCTATCATCCACCTCACACCAGCATTCACATTTCTGTGCAAGCTTCTCCTTTTGGATGATTTGGGAAAGGTGGAGTGGCAATTTCTAGTCACCTACTTGAACATATATTTCAGGATGCACTAGCTGAGATTTGGCCTTTCTGTGACACAGCACAGATCCTTCTGTGCAGCTGAGGCTAAAGGAGAGGTTTTGTTTAGCTCATTGAAAGAGATGCACACCAGAAGATCACATCTCTGTTTGCAGGAACAAACTGCCTGCTGTGCCTGAGCTTTTGAACCCAACCTGGACACCATGTTGCACAGTTCAGTCTCCCAGTAGAGCTAGCTGGTTGTCCAAGGGATAAGGGGAAAGCGGAGAAACATAGGACAGGCGCCAGAGACCAAAGGATTGTCTCAGGATGTTAATGACCTGTGCTCTCAGAGGCCTGGGAAACTCGTGCCATGTATGTATATATACATATATGCATACCTCCAGTCACAGGGGCTCAAGACCCCTGGACTGCGCTCTGAAAATGAGGGCTAGTGGGTCAGTTAGACTGAGCAGAGAATATATGTCTTGCCTGCCTACTGGAGATTAAGTAAAACCCAGCACACCTCTAATACGCCCATTGCAGAAACTGTTTCCAAGCCCCCAAACTCCAGCCTTGCCTGTTCCCTCCTGGAGGAATGCTCACTGAGGCCATGGCTCCTTGGGCACCACATGAGAGTGGTAGAGGGGCTCCCCATGCCCCTCTGTGTTCACTGCTCCAGCAGCCCATTCCCCTGCAACTGGGTAACGGTTGGGAGCCAGAGGGGAATGAATCAGCAAGCAGGATTTAAAAACCAGAGCAGCCCACCCTTTCAAGGTCAGACTCAGGTTGAGCTGCACCGTGTTTCTCTAAGAGGCCACCGGAGCCCTTTTGTTCCTCGCTGCTATCTCCATGTTCATCCCAATGTACATGTGAAAGGAACAATTAACAATAGGGCACTCCTCTCCAAGGATCCAATGCACTTTGAAGTGTCCACTAACCAAAGGCTCAAGAATGATACATCATTTTCAACTGTGAACATGTCAAACTAGTACAGCGATTGAAAAAATGTCTCCACATGCCTTCCCAGCATGCAGACAGGGACCAGCTGGAGAGCCACTTCATATCTGACATGTCACCCCCTGACAGCTGTCTTCTTGGGAATTTTTGGTATGTAAAGTTTTCTAACTCCTGCTTTTTTAAACAAAACACAGGAATAAATCCTTTCACTTCAGAGTTGCATCCAGGCCACTCCTAAACACGCAGTATTTCCTTCAAGACTGAAAAAAAGGAGAGAGAAAAGATTTTTCTTGCACAAAAATACCTGGGAAGTGTTTTTAAAGTGTCACTCATTGAAAGTGATGTCACTCTTTAGATGCTTGCACACCAAGACATCACACAGCTTATTTACAGGCTAAGGGGGTCATTCAGCAAAGGTATTTCAACACCAGACTGGCCTGGAGTATGCAAGCAGATCCACTAACCATAATGCACACCATTAACTGGGAAACGGATCCCTCCACTCTAAGTGCTCTGAGCAGTTCAAATAGCATGAACACCCACATCACTGCTGTTATTTTAATTGTCTGTAAAGCAAAGAGCAACTCAATGAATAGCTGAGTGGTGCAGAGATGGTACAGAGGTCACTGTTTTGACATTAGTTTACTTAAAATTATTTTTCCTCACCTGAAATGGAACTTCTTTTTCATCCTAGCTCGAGCTACAGGTGTCACAGGGTTCATCCTGCTGTCAAGTTATCTACTGTACGTCTTACATGGTACACTTTCTGGGCAGGCCTGGACTGAAATCAGCTCTCAGGGGCTTCTTGTCCACCTTGATTTGGGGTATCTTTTTGTCTGAGGTGCAAATCTGTATGGTAAACACTGTTATCCTCATCTTTTCCTCATGGGTGTTAAAACCAGGCAATCTCCGTTAATTTAAAACAAACAAACAAAAACCCAACAGAGAACGTTTCAAACTTTTACTTGAAAAACAAGACTTCTCAACAATGGTAAAAAGAGGGGAGGGGAGGAGAGACCAAATTACCATTATTTTTTGGAAAATTTCAACTATTTTTCCCCATTTGGGTTACAATCCTGCAACTCCTTGTTAAGCCTAATGAATATGCACTTTGAAGGAAAGAGAAAATGGGGCTCCAATCGCTTTGAAACAAGGTAAGAAAATAAGGTGGAAAATTCCCAGATGGACCATCTGTGAATCATTCCTTTTCTTTACCCATTAAGGGCAGATAAAAGCAAAAGTATTTCAGTTGCACTTTATCTTTTCACTCATCTGCTGTTTCCTAAGCCCCTGCTCTGCCTTCACACTCAGAAAAAGAGGAAGGCTTTTGAGAAGTGCCAGGAGCCTGAAGGGAGGTGATGATGGCTCATGGTGAAACCAGAAGTATTGTTCTAGAAAGGAGAACCACTGGGATGGAGGAAGACTACTAAAGCTCTTCCTCAGGGGTCCTGATTTTTTATTTCTTGTTGACAACAATTGAAGTGGAAGGATGTTAATGATGCCCTGATGGCGTAAAAATGGAAGATGTTATTTAGCATCATATCACAAGAACTGGGTGACCTTAGGAGTGAATGCAATGGCAAAGGAAAGGATTGTAGTAACCATGCCTTGTAGGAGCCACACACCTCCAGCACTGATAGCAGGATTTTCTGCCACAGTAAAGATGTGTCTGGAAATGAGAAGGAAAAACAAGTGGTAGGATGAAAATGAATCCTTGTCCATCCAGTATGACCTTGAAAGGGGGGACACTGAGTTGTTCAGGCCTCCAAACAGGTTGTCAGAATCTGGCCCTAGCCTGGGATGTGAGCCTGTCTATCACAGGACCTGCAGCTCATTTTGAAGGGAAAAAAAACCTCTGTGATACCTTAATAAATATTTCTGGGAATTAAATTAATCTTTGAGAAAACTGATGTGGGAAAAGCTAGCAGCCTGGCTCCCAATCAAAGGACCTGGAAGGTATCCAGGAAGGGCAAATGGTGACCAGGGCTGCAGGCCTGTGGTCCTTGCCGCCACGGATGCCTGACAGTGTGTGCACAAGGGTGCAGCAAAAGCCCTCAGCATCCCTTCCCTCACCCCAGCACACAGGCACTGCACACAACAGCATGGTCATCTCACCCTGGCACTAACCCTCACACAACCTGGTCCTGCCCTTGAGCTGAGTCCTCTAAGCTCAGGGAGGGAGGAGGAAGGGACCATATGGGATTTGTCCACAGACTCATGCTGTCCAGTCATCCCCTTTGCTCTCCTTCCTCATATCCTTGTTGAAGCCAACACCTCTGCTCCCAGGAGAAAAGCAACCTGGCACTCCCACCAGATGAAGCTTTGACTCATTCCACTTCCCCCCCCCCTTTTTTTTTTCCTCTTGACAGTCTGCTTTGACCTAACTGACATCCTCTCCTTGCTTTCAATCCCCGATTTTCTGCACTTGGGGACGGATTTTGAGCAGGCACTAAGTGTTGAGGCCGTGCAGAGGCAGCGAGGGGGGGCTGCTGCTACCCCACAGCCTGCCATTCAGGCAGATGGTGGAGGGGGCTGATATGAATAGCTCCTGTCAGTCTCATAGAGCGAACTTTACAACTGTGCTACGTGTTGGACTGCACGTGACTAATGCCATTCTTCTGCAGGCTGCAGGCAGGACACAGCTGTTTCTTTAAGGAGAATTTTGGTTTTTTTGCACCAAAAAAAAGCCACCCATGGCAATATCGTATCTATGTACCCAATATTACACTCCATAATTAGGTGTGATCAAAGCCCATCCTGCCTTGCACTGCCTTTCTTTCTGGTAAATCAGATCATGTTTTAAAATGAGCCTGGTGTTGCTTTGGTCCTTCTGGAAATTTAAATCCTGCCTACCCACACAGCAGGTATGCACTGAGAAGCAGCAGGGCCAAAGATAGGTTTCTTTACATAATTCTGCAGTAATTAAGTATTTCAAGATCAGTGATGAATTCAGTGCCAAATGCTACCTGGAACTTCTGTTTATGAGAAATAATGCTGCAAAAAGTATTTGAACAATACAGATATGAATACGAGCATGTGAAAAGGAGAATACTTCTTCAAAGCTGCAAAAAGAAGAAAAGCACAGTGTGCTCTCAACAGGGCATGAGTCTGGATCTTGATCCTACAGTACAGAAGAGCCATGCCAGAGCAGAAGGGTAGTGCTCCTCCTGCCCATGTTCTGGCCATACTCATAGCCCTGTTCCCTGCTCCACTCTCTTGGACAGGGCTTCTCCACATCAGTGTTTCTGCAGTGAAAACTGAGATGCTCTCCACCTGGCGTGCAGTCAGAAACATATTCCTGTACCTCCTGCACCTGCACTTCCTTACCAGGGGGCATGCCCCTGTCTCACGGCAGGAGGGCAGCCGTTGGCAGTGGGACAAGGTGCAAGCAGGGCCAGGCAGTGCTGCCTTCAGCTGGCCCCTCTGCAGCTATCTGGCCATGAAGCTGCAGGCAGGAAGATATCTAGCAAGGCACTGTGTGTGGTTATATCCCTAACATTTCCTTCTGCCTACCCCGCCTTCTGCATTTCCAGGCTGCCCATGAGAATTGCTGAAACTCAGAGCAGAGCAAGAGTTTTGGTTTGACTGGTGAATTTAGCCATCTTTGCTGCAGGCAGCAGTTTCTTGAGGAAGTAGAGCCTGTACCAAGTTCAGTGTCATCCCACCATCACAGTTTTGGAAATATCCTTCTCTGAAGTTGTCTTTATGCTTCAAAGGAGTGTGGAAAGCTGACAAGAGCTGCAGCTGAGGGTTACCCTGAGAGCCCCTAGAAGGGTCCCTGGGAGATGAGTGCTGGGAAATATATTTAAAACAGCATGTTGCACTTGCCAAGCCACTTGAGGATGAGGAGCCTTGCTTTTCTGTAAGGTGGGTGGAGGGAGAAACTTCCTTAGAAGAATCAATGGTTATCATATGACTAGAGAAACAGGCACTTGTCTGCAGTGCTGGCTGCTGCCATCATCTTTGCCCTGATGATGCCCAAACACGTGGCCTTCTGCTGAGCATCTTGAGGCTTAGCCAGTATGCCAGGGTCTCCCCTTCAGCGTGGTGGATTTGATTCACAGGCTGTGCTGACACAGGTAAGTGACCATCACCCTGGGAAAAATACCTGTCCATCACATACCTCTGCTCCAGAGAATAGCCTCCTCTGTCCATGCGCCTTTCTACGTGGTGCTCTGACAGTATTTGTACCATGGAGCCGCAGAGCAGGAGGGAGGACGCTCGCGACGGCAAGATCACGCCGTTCCAGGAAGAGAAGGTAGCACTGATTCCCAGCCCGGTTTCACACACCGGCGCCGAGGCCACTGCTGCGGTGCCGAGACCTGGCAGTGCCGCGGCACTGCCGCTAGAGTGCACTGCGGGGCCCGGCAGGACGGCCCTGCTCTCGCGGCAAGGCACTGCTGCTTGAACGGTGCAGGGTCGGAAAGGCCATTGAGGACAAAAGAATGATCCTCTGCGCTCAGGACACCCTGTCTTGAACGAGCTAAAAGGTTCAAAGGTGCCTGAGCAAAGCCCTGAGCAGCCTCAAAGTGCCCTCAGTTACATGGTGCCCGAGTGCGCTCAGCTCCTTCCAGGCGCTCAAGTCCAGCTCTCCAGGACCAATCCTGCATTCATAAAGCATCAGGAAGAGTTTCAGAGGAAATTGGGATCTGCAGTACATATTGCCATGAAGAAACTGAACAACTCACAAAGCCAATATTAAGCAAAGCATCAGTGATCAGAATCAGTCTCTGCTGGAACTCAGGTGTTCACTACAGCAGTTCTGGACTTGTTACTCCTACTGAAGCCAAATTTGAGCTGGACATGGTTTTCTACAGGTGCCAAATTAGGTTGCCCCACAGGTTTTCTGTTAAGAATACAAGGGCTGGGTACTTGGAGCAGATGAGCACTCTGCTTGTCTGGGATATCACAGTGTTTGTGTCCACTGGGATTCTATACGTGGGTGTTGATGGAAGGCAGCAGGGTTTGGTATGTGCTCCTGCAGAATGTAAAGGACTTAGAATAGGATACCAATATGCTGAAGTAAAAAAAAAAAAAAAAGAAAGAAAGAAGGGTGTTTATTGGCCCTAACACAGTCTCTTCAGCCATCTTTTGCAGAGAGAATACTGATAAAGAAACAAAATTAATATTTTATTGTTTATGACAAATACCAATAAGAAAATTTTGTCAAGTTGGGTAGGCAAACCAATATTTGCAAGTCTGATGCCAAGTCTATCGTTTTCTTCCTGCCCCCAGTGGATCTGGTACATAGGAAAGTCTGTCACTGTTGCATAAGCGTGATCTGTGCATCAAGCTGCCATGCATGTGCAGAGCTCTACATGAGAGACAGTGGTATTAGGGAGCCCAGCCTGATCCATCATGGGGACCACAGAAACTAATCCAGATAAATGATATTTTAAAGTAGCACTTCACTTACAAAATTCTATAATCAGTGGCTTATGGTGAATGAAAAGTATTTGTAGCTGTTTCTAATAGTAGCATAATGTC